AGCCCATGATGAGTCAACAACAATGCAGGACTTCAAAAATAATAAACTATATCAAAAAGGAAAAACATGTACCAGTACCTCACACAACACTCCTGGTAGCAAGAAAAGCAGACAAGGACACCCAATAGCTACAGTGTGCAGTACTCGCTTCTCCGACAAGAAATGGCAGCATCTGACATAAGACCAATTTATATTGACTGACACAAGTTAATGAAATTGGTACTCGTCATGCCAGAAAGGGTTTAAAGAACTGGATCTTGCCAAAGCTGTTTACAGTATTCCTCTAAGAACAGCGAGCAGGTTAGCCAGATAACGCATCATCCCTTAAAGTATACTTTATCCTAAGATGGAAGGTTGTGCCAAATATTGAAATGTCATCACCCCTACAATGTGTACACAGAGTGAAAGAAGCAAGACGCTTATACTATAGGGGGATACAGGCGGTATACATGTGTAAATCATGAAGGGACACTTATTTTACTCTTTCCCAGAATATACAAGTGTCTTTAGTGCTTGGTATGAAAAAACCTGTCTTTCACGTTATGATGAAACAAGCTCTCCAACAACAAGGATTTACTGGTCCAAAACATGCTGCTAACTCACCAAGCACCACTTAGGTTTAGCTGAGCAGAAAACTGGATCAAATCAATAAAATAAATACGTCAAATTGTGGATACAGTGATGATCTATTATTATATAGGCCTACTTATATTTATCTGCATTCATTATTTTGTTTTCCTTTGGTTACTGGGAACAACATCTTAACACTAGGTTGACATATTAACATCCTTTAAAATTGACAGCAAACGTTTTAGCAAACTATTGCCTACTAACACTTCGATCAAACACATAGCAACATTTGCATTCATTTGAAAACACCTAAAAATGTAAGTCCAACATTTCCTCGCCTTTTAGCTCTGTTTTGGTCTCAACCAACTCCTGAGGGAAATATCTGTCTCTTAAGCTGCTAAATGCTACTCTTTGTTCACCGGCTACTCACTAACTTTGTCTGTCTGCCGCTTAGTGCTGGGCAGGTAATGAATAGTCAGTTTATCAGAGCTTCTTCACTGAAAACAGCTGTCTGCTGTTGCGAATGGGGCAGAAGAGCTCTATAAGAACTTGACAGGCACTCAGGAGCATGCTGAAATATTATCTCCTTCTTAAGTTGTTTTTTCACTCTCCTGATAGCAAACGGTTGCCTACTTACATAGCCAATTGACACTGTTAGCATTCATTTTCAATCATGTTTATGACTACCTGAGCAACTGCAAGTGTAAGATTACTTTCCTTTTTGTCTTTAGCTGCTAAATTTGAGACTTTCCCCAGCAGCAAGTTGTTAAACCATTTGGTGCTGAGCAGGTAGCACAGTTTATGAGATATTTTAGAAAAGAAAATAGCTGCTTTTTGCTGAAGGAAAAGAGGTTGATTAGAGCAGGGAGACAGAACCATACAGTGAACTTGCCATAGGTAAAACAAAAAACGCAGTAAGCTCAAATGTTCTGCAATGGAGCTGCAGAGTTGGGTTGTTGACTGCTGCATCACTTTCACATGAAGCACACTACTGGCCCCATGACCCACTTTTAACTCCTCAGACATCAATTTTATGTTTTAAAGCAGGATTTTCCAGACAGAGTCTACCAGGGTACCAACAGAAACGCAAGCTTTGTTGCTGCCGTCCTTAGTCTGATGGTACTCTTCCAGTAAAAGCCATGTAGAAATATGATTGATGGGTATTAAGGACACACTTTTGCTATTTTTGAAACACTTCCAATCCTTTTCATGATAATTTGGACTACATGCCAATGCTGCATTTAGAATTTTTGCCAAATCTGGCTCATTCACTCCAGTTGTATCATAATTTTGTCATACAGAGAAATGAAAGAGACAGCTACTTTGTTCTGCAAAGTTGCAATTTGCATTATGATTAGGCTATTAAGATTGAGAAATTGTCATTTCATATTAATTTGGGACAATGTAAGAGCTGAGATTAAACATAAGTGGGCATCTTCCTTTCTGCACGGTAAACAAGAGGCTATTATTGAGTTCTGTAGTTTTTTTTTTCCAAAAGAAATCATTCATCATAGAGCCAAAATTTCTATATCAGGACCTACCATGTTCATCCATTACCCACTCAAACCAGTGTACAAGCCATACTCTGCCTTGGGTTAAGGTAAGGATTAAACAATACAAAACACGCTTTGGTTGCTTTTGGAGATCATATTTGGAGTTTCCATTAGCTCTCAAAAAAGTTTACAAAATACAATGACAAAAATACAGCTACTGGTAAAAATAGAGTCAAGGACACAGCTACAAATCCTCCATAATGCGTCATCATGAAATATATTTTATATGTTAACAAAGGCTATCTATCTCCTCTCTCATCATCAACAAATGTGGCTGCAGGACATTTATAGGAAAGTGAGGGATGGATTCTACCTGGTCAAAGCCAAATGCTGAGGGGAAAGCCCAAAGTTAAAGCACCTCTTAAAATGTAATCTTGTTATGACTGATTTATTATGTACAACTGAAAATTCTGAAGGATATTGCATAAAGATAATTAATCCTACTGTATTTGCAAAGCACTCTACATGATGCACACATAATATTTTTGATGCCACATTATCACAGTGGTCAAATAGTTTCAATTTACATTTTTGATAAGTTCCGTAAAAATTGCCACTTTTATTTACTTGCTTCCACAATCTCAGGGTGATACATAAACCTAAGCGACAAAATAAACAAAAAAATACAGCAAACTTTGACTATATATATATATATATTTTTTAAAACATACAGTGTGATCATATTAACACAGAATGAGCTCTGTCTGCAATTACCCAATCCAATTACAATCCAAACTTTCCTTAGTACCAGACTTAAACAGACCTCTCTGATGCTTTCATGTGCATATATTCAACCAACAGGCACTACTTTCCCCCCCCAAAAACAAAATCATGCTATTATTCTTTTTACTTAACCAGGTTATGCATCATGCAATCAAGTCTGCAAAAATGTTTGGGTACTGCTTATGAGGTAAGTTGGTTTAAAATGTCCTCACCTGGGCTGGAGTCAAGCAGCACTCTCTTGCTCGTTTGTGGATCATGTTTGTCTGCTTCTTAGCTCAGGCCAAAAATGACTTCAAATCCATCTTCACTATATTGGTTGTCATAACCAAACACGGTTTATCAGTGTGTTTGAGACTGTTTGTATTTATGCAATCGAGTCGGCAAAAGTTAGTCAGACTGAAGCCAGCACTGCCCCAATGTCAATGAGCAACTTTGCTTTAATCAGTCTGGGGTATGCTTGTGATGTAAGTTGGTTTAGTGCGTCCTGACTTCGGCTGGAGTGAAGCAGCACTCTCCTGCTCGTTTGTGGATTATGTTTTTCCGCTTCTTAGCTCATGCCAAAAAATGACTTCTAATCCATCTGCCTCAGGTCTAAATACCAACAGAGTGTATGAACAGAGCTCCATGAATGCTGGAAACAGTGCATCAAAATGTTCACATCTGCTCCATGGTTTATTATTAACACATAGTATTTGTAAAGCAAAGTGCATTATAGTTCTCAAACAATAACTATAATTAAAATCCACAGTAGTAGTTGTCATAACCAAACCCTATTTATCATTAAGATGCAACCAGCCGACAGGGATATTCTGATTGAGACTGTTTGTGTTTATACAAATATAATGAGTCCAATATCAATTTCATGTTCCCCTTTACAGATAGTTTAACCATGTTGATGTTAATTAGAAGTCATTTTTAAAGCAATAACACGTTGTGCAGTTCAGCTGAAATCCATCTTAATGCTTCATGTAACAACCAGTTACAATTATATGATAGTGTACAGTAATGCAACAGGACTTGATGGCAGGTAAATACAGAAATTAACATAACACCATCACCTCTGTCCAGCTGGCTCTGAGCATCACAGAGGATGTCCTATTCCAAAATTTAATCAAACTCTGACAGATTTGTAGCGCAATATAAATATGACTATAAATAAGCTCCAACCAAGATCATGTCACATATGAATCATGCCTGACTATATGTCCACTATTGTGACAACTGAGTTCATTCTGACCCCTTTAAAGTGATTTAATTTTATTCTGGTCCTTTTCATTATTTCCTCTTGCTTCATTTTGCTCCATCAATGTGTGCTATTGAGTGGTTCTGTTTTTACATTTCAATCCATAAACTATTAACTTGTGGGCCTGGATCTGTGCTGACCCTAAAACAATAGTGTGGCAAATGCATTCCCAGCAGGGGTGATGTTTGTTAAACCAGGCCAGTGTAACACCCCGGGGCAGTTTGCAGGCTACAGACCCTGAGCCTCAGTCTGGAGGCCCTGCCAACCCGCTGTGGACTAGCATCCTCCTGCAACATCACTGCAGCATCCTGTCAAAACATGGCCATTAACGTGTGTGGTAATCCTGTCAAGCAGAAAAATGCACACACTGCAAATCACACATGCGTAGTAATGCATAGAAGCCAATGCACATCTGGCTTTACCTGAAGCACATGCAACAACAGCTGGAAGCTTCACTGCACCCAGCTACCAAACGCCTACCAGCCGCAGAAATGTAGAAACACACACAGGATGCTAGAGACACAGCGTGAGCATCCGTCGTGTGTACGAGAAGGCCCTGCAAGGCGATGAAAATCTCCAAGCGGACACGAGCTCCATCCTCGTCATCTTTGAATTGCTTGCCAGAGCAGGCCTGCCACTTCCGACATGCAGGCTAAGCCAATAGGCCCACCACACGCTCAAGGTTTCCCTTTTTATGCTATCGTACACGGTGATGGCATTTGTTGCTGCAATAATACCGTTTTGGTTCAAATAGGCAGTGGAATAAAAGCGAGCCCAATATGTTTCTCGCACCGCTGCTGAGATGATCAACCCGACTCAAACCAGCAGGCCCGCTAGTCCCAGTAAGTCCCAGTTCAGACGATATTAAACCTACCAAGGACGGTACTTAGAAGCAGCTTTCTGTGCCTTACCTCGCAATCGATTCTCATCGTGTGTGATCCTAATCTGTGTGAAACCGTGTCCATGACATGCTCCTTTTTTAAAGAAAAAAAAACACCCCCTCCGCTACGATCTCAGCATCAGCAGCAGCCCGTACAATGAAGCAGTGATGGCCGGTGGTGATGATGCTGGGAGCCCCGCCCTCCCCTCCATGCAGCCAGAATGAGCTCACTGGTTTCCAGGCCAGCCGGCTCCAGTGCAGCCGCAGTCCACCAGCACACAGCACAGACCTGCTCACACCCCAGATCGCAGGACACGTTCGCGTAACTGTCCCTAACGCTCCTGGAGCTGTCCATATAACGGTTCTTAGAAGTTCTGAAAAGGGGAAAACATTTTAATCGCAACATTACATGAAAAAAAACAACATATTTTTAAATTATTAATTAATTTGAATAGGCCTAATTTTCAAATGATTCTTTGGGTGAAAAAATGGGTCATATTGGTTGATATACTGGGGCCTATTAAATAATGATTCCTTGTACAACATGCTTAAAATTCTATACTATACCATGGTCGTGCAATTTGAACAGTTGTTAAAGTAAAGGATCCTCACTGTAACATTCTGAAAGAACTGCGGTGTAGGCTGTACTATAAATTAACAAGCAGATTCTTACTGCTCAGGAATTTAAGTACTGGAGTTAATGGGTAGTATTTTAGCCATTAAACATTCAAATGGAATGGAATGCACGAGGAGCAAAAATGGGACTTGGACAAGATTATATACAGTTTTTGCAAATGGTATTTTCAATGATAATACATGATCTAATGTTTGTTGCCATGTGTGAAAATGCAAACCTTGCAGTACATACAGTACAAAAAAGTTCAAACCTCAAATAATCTTAAATACTTCTGTAGAGCAGTAATATGTTTCTCTTTGTCACATCATTTGCATCACAGTTATATAGTTAAAGTTTAACTGAACTGAAATGAACATGGCTCAAAATGTTAATCAGGAAAAAAAACCTCAAACCCCAAAATTGTTAATATGTGCTTCCTATACTGCACTATACTAACGTGTTGCAGTTAGCTACATAGATTATGCTGTACAAACTGAATGAGAGATTAGTGTCTCCTAACGGTCGGTCCCAGAACTGTAAGTGATTGATATTAATGGTTGAAGTCAGATTTCTCCGGAGTGGAGAACAAAAAAGAACGAAAACAAGAAATAAAAGACATTTATAAATAGGCTACTATAACAGACGCCATAGATTCAAATTACTTATTACTTACTTGTTTGTTTGTTGCTATATTCTACACGTTGTTTTGAACTAAAACACTTCAGAAGTGTTGTCTGTCTAAAAGTCCAAGAAAGACACGTTCTGTAGGTGAGTGGCGCAACTATCTTTCATCTGCCACTCATTTTTAAAATGAACCATATCGTATATCTATCTATCTATGTATCATATGTGTACGTGCTTACACAGACATAAGAAAAACAATAGTTTCTTCGGCACAATACAGTTCTTAACTCCACACATTAGACGTTACTGTTTTTCTGTAGCGTCGGGTGGATTAAGGCGCAGCAGATTTGGACCGCCCATTTGAACTTCTTTTACTCAATGACAAGCTCCCCCAGGGCCCTCAATACACACAAATACATATCTCAACCTCAGCCAACACCATCCTCAGTAACAGGACTATCAGAGCTGCTGTTACATCTACCTGCCTTCCATCAACTTCATACTCGCGTGCAGTCTGTGCTAACAAACAGGTGTTGGCCAGGAGACTACGCAGTAAGTCAATCGTATGTGTGTACAGAAGAAAGGTGCCCTTACAGAGTGGTTTTAGGAAAGTGATTTGAAGGGGGAAATGGCCATCGACGAAGACAATGGCCTCTGCACAGCTTCTGTGGCAGAACAATACCCACATGGGATGCCCAAAGAGTCGGACGGACGGGGTACTGGGGGACCAAAGCCGAGTTCATCCTGACTGTGATGGGAGCGATCATCGGACCTGGGAATGTATGGAGGTTCCCTTACCTGTGCTACAGAAACGGCGGAGGTGAGAGAATTTACACGGCAACGGCTGCTCTCAGTTTGTCATGCAATGGGGGTGGTGATGGCGCAGTGGTTAAGACACATTCCTTTGGTGTGAGAGACCCGGGTTTGACTACAATGTGTCCCTATAATTAATCCCTATTTGCTCAGAGGCGTGCGACCTCTGACATATATAGCAAATGTAAGTCGCTTTGGATAAAAGCATCAGCTAAATAATAATTGTAGTTTCCCTCCTGTGTGTTATCTGTTCTCTAGGCGCATTAAATAAAATAAAACATAAAGATACTCTTCTTTTTGCAGGCGTGTTTCTCATCCCATACATTTTGTTCATGTTTACATGCGGAGTCCCTTTATTCTTCCTTGAAAACTGCCTTGGGACAGTACACCAACGAGGGGGGAATTACGTGCTGGAGAAAGATTTGTCCGCTATTCCAAGGTAAATAAAAATGGCTTATTTTCTTGATCCCTCCAACATTACCTCTATTGGTTTTGTAACATAAGAGCCCCTGGCCTGTATGGTCAAACGTACAGTACAATCACATGACGCCATGAGTGACTATGGGACAGCCCACAGAAAGGAGAGCTCTTCAAAAGTTTGAAAGGCTACATCTTTAAAATTATTTCCTAAAAGTTTTGCTAATAAAATTGCTTATTTTCACTAAAATTCCCTTTGAAAATATGAAGGATAATATGTTTGATGTGTAGTCCCATTTATCAACGGGCTTCTTGTTTACTAGAATTTACTGCGTGCGTAATTACGCAAAAAGTCTATACTTTTGATCATTTCACTTTTTGTCATCCGATTGGTTTGCAGCAGATAATTCGCGTTGTTTCTCATCACAGCAGAATATTCTAATTAGCTTACTTTTTGAATAGGACACACTTTGCCCCACATAAAGTGGTAATTGCAACATAAGAATATTACCTGTGCGCTGCCCTCACTAATATCGTATTCTGCATGCTTTTGCTTTTTCCAGGCATTGGCTATGCCAGTCACTTAATCATCATATTCAGTGCCACCTCCTACATTATCATCATTGTATGGGCATTCTTTTACCTGTTCTCCTCCTTCAGCGGGGATTTGCCCTGGGCCACATGTGGACACTACTGGAACACAGGTAGGATGCAGCTTTTGGTGAGGGCTTTGGAAGCTTTTAGATGAATGTAGGCCTACCCTTTAAAATTACCAAGATTTGGTACAAAGTGTTTCTTTTCCACTGAGATGTAGGGATATGATCATTCATTTTGTTGTAATATTGTTATAGGGCTTTGGGTGTTATGTACAACACTAAGGATTTTATATGTAGCTATTATTCTACTATATCATTTCATGTCAAGATAATTTGTCATTGTCTCTGAGGGATGCAGAAAGCCATGTTTGATTTAAAAATGAGCATTTTCATATTCCCAGTGTTTTATTGTCCCATACTAGACTCATGCTTTGACTTCATCCCTCCAAATCTGAGCATCAGCATGACATCCAGACTGAATACCACTCTTCCTGTTGTGGAGTTCTGGCAGTAAGCATGTAGTCAACTCACATAAGTTTAATTGAATGTAAATTTTTCTTAATCATTGCCTTTCCATTTTTTCTCCCTCTCCTTTCTCTTTTCTCCCTTTTTCAACCCTGCCCTCCAGTTCCTCTCTCTCTCCCCTCCAGTCTTCTCCACACTTGTTTTAGCCGACCTCTGATTTTCTCCCCCTCCCCTCCTGTCACTCAGTTTTCCCCTCTACCTATAATTATTTTTCCATTCCTTTTCACCTGTCATTCATTTTTTGCTTTCCCCCTTCCCCTCAACATTGCCTCGCTTCTCTCTCCAGGCGTCGGGTTTTGAAAATCTCTGGTGGTATCGAGGAGGTGGGGAGCTTGAGGTGGGAACTGGTCTTGTGTCTCATCCTGACCTGGGTCATCTGCTACTTCTGCGTTTGGAAGGGTATCAAGTCAACAGGAAAGGTTAGCTGCTTGAACAGTGAACAACATCCATAAATACATACATTTTGGTAAAAGTCTACCCAAAATGCTTTTCCCAATGAAGTGTGTCAGTCAGAGCTCGCCTTGACCCATGGGGGGTCACATGTTGGGCACAGCCCAAAAGAAGTACATTGTGCCTCCACTCTGTGGGCTAACCACCCTCAGGTTGGATACATTGTCACCCAGGTGGCAAACAAAGATGGAGACCTGGGCATGCTGACCCCTGGCATCGCAGAGTTGTTCGCAGATACAATGTAGATAGGAGGCTAAGCCACCTTTGGTCCATGACATCATGCTACTTTTTGATGAATGACTTGTTGTGAATTGTTTACACAATGTATTGTGGGTACAGCTGGGGATATGAAGTTTTATTTTAGTTTTAAAAGTTATCACGACTTGGTTAGACCCCCCCACCAACCCACATACACACACAAACAACCGGTCGAACACCACCCACCAGTTCATCATCCTTATGTTCTCCTTAAATGTGCGTGCCTATTGTACAATTTCCCCAAACCAAGTGGACCAAATTTGATTGAGCCATCTCAGTGTCAATTAAGAAAACTGAGAAAATAAATAAATAAAGACAGTTATGCCAGTCTAGCCCTGGGCCTTTGGAAGAAACATGATTAAAACAGACTGCCTAAAGTTAAGGTTAGGATTGGGTAAGGCTTCCTCTGCCCCAAAGGGAGAGAACGGAAAACGTGGCCAAAAAGAAACTGTGTCAAGAAGTTGTTAAAGTTGTTGATTGGTGCATGCACGTTTTTGGGTCATTTTATAATAAGTAGCTTGTTTTGATTTTAAGCCTAAGTTACCTTTTTTGGACAATGCACATTTGTTTCTTCTGTATTTTATTTGCATTGCATGTTTATTTAATGTGCAAATAAACCTTTGCGGGCATTTTCATTTGTTATTTAACTGCAAGCTATATTTCAAACGTTTTTTAACAAATTATACTAAAGTGGTGGGGACAAAATCAGCCATTTCAAAAGGTGGTGGGGACATGTCCCCCCCAGCATCCCCAGTGTAA